AGGGCTGCAAGATCGTTCTCATTGATCCACTCTACCGTTACCACTGGACAAAGAGTAATGGTACTTAGGGACAGTCGATGTATCTGGAGCGGATGCCAAGATTTACTCCCATTTTCCACTCTGTACGGGACCCTAAAATTGTTCTCAAGTCAAAAAGGAACGAAGATCTGAGTAGCCTTAAGAACTTCAGTCCTGATGGGGTTCACCTAAATGACCTTGCCACCCACCTTTACTGTCTTTATTTGATCAAACACATCAGGCGTTTGGTCACAACAGTAAATTTCTCTGGTCCTTCATGGCATTAAGCCCCGAGTACCCTGTTAATGTGTTAATGTAGCTCTTGGGGGAGTGACCTCTGTGCAGACCAGCCATGAATCACAATCCCCCAGTGGGCCTGGATGTCGTGGCCAAATTGGCCACCACTTCCACATGTGTTTGTCGCCGGTTATTTGTCCTTGTGTTCTGGTCGGGTTGGCAACGCTGTGGGGATAGTGCAAGGCGAAGGCGCTGAATATGCCATTCAAGGCCATTCATGACAGGCACGTGCCTCGCCTCGCAGTGTGTCTCTCATTTGTATTTTGTGTGTAGCCCTGTTCAGGGCAGTGTTAGAGATTTCAGTTGGTTTTTCTTTTTCTGTTAGTCCTAGTATGGAGGAATCGGTGTGCTTTGTTGGATTTTCATGTACTGGTATATGTATGTATGCCTCAGGATGTAATGTGGGAATATCCCACGTACATCTACACCTTTCGTCGTGGAACTTGTGCACTTATCAGGTTCGGGTGCACCAGCTTGTATCTTCCCAGCTTGGATTACACCGCCTTGTTTCACCAGTCTGGTGAAAGCTATGTTGTTTAATCAAATAATACTGTATATGTGCAATTGTGTTGGAGTGAGTGACTCCTATCGGGCAGATGGAATCGAGACGGGGCCGGAATGGAGATACCCAGCAAAGAATTCGAAACGCATGATTTTGAATCGGCGTGGAATCAACATTGAATGAACGTTCGGGATGTTGATACAACGTTGGTGCAACGTGCGTGTACTACTGGGGTGCATCCCACTCGGCACAAAAAACCTTGTGTCGACATTGAGAAAAGGTTGTAACGTTAAAACTTTGTTGAAGTTGAGATTTCGGCGAAAAATCAACATCGACGAAATATTAGCTATTCGTAATTAACGGCATTTTCATGAATCTCCACGTGGCAGATGCACTCACTCGCGCTCTCCCATAGAGGATAGAGCATGAAAAAATGTCCCCCGGGTTGTTTCTCCTACTGGACAGAGAGAGTTGAGTCATTTAAGTGCTCGATTCGAATTTTGTTCCAATAAAGGAAAAAAACTCTGAGGGTCCTTTACGTGGGAAGATTGTTGTCAATAGAGTACTGCTTGTATCCTGCCATTTGCATATCCTCCATGGATTTATGGAATCATATTCAATCTCATCGGGATATTAAGGTTCTTGCAGACTATGGATGAGGGAGGAGGTTATATAATGCCTGTCCGTTGAATAATTTAACATTGACAAAACGTTGCCCTGCAACAACTCTTCAACGTTGAACTGTTCTTAATTTCAATATGAAGGCAATGTTGAGATAACATACGAAGTTGAGAAATTAACCTTTCCTCAACGTTGAGGCAACATTGCCATCAACCTTTTCTTAACGTTGACCCAACGTTGTTGTGCGGATTGGGGTATCTACAACGGAAGGAGGGGGGGGGAGGGGGAGGGGCAGGAGGCGGTGCTTCCAGGATATAAAAGGCGATGAAAATTAATTTGCTCTACGCTTCCCTACAAGCGGCATCTATGCCCAACATGAGGGAGTAGGAACTAGGGAAACACCCCCCCCCCCACCTCCGATGAATAATTAATGTTTCCGTCAGTGATTTGAGAAGGCATGTAAACTCCACGTTGTGATACCGATGCTTTTAAATAGCTTGAAAACTTTACGAGACTGACGAAGTGACTTCGGACCACCCTTTCCATATGGCGAAAGGGAGAGCCACCTCTAGAAGGCGATACCATGCCCTGAATTCCTGAAACGAGTAGGTGCATCAAAAACACATCTAGTCAGAGCGTACCATGGCTTCTTTAGCCAACGTGTCGAGGACTCCAGCTTGGTATGGGAACCAGGCCTCCCGAAATCTCTCACAGATCAACTGGAGAAGTTTCATCGCGTGTCTCAAGGCAATAGCCATGGATTCTAATGCGTGTGCAACGATCACTTTTCCAGTATCATCTGTGGAAAGGTGAAGGAACTACAAGAAGAGGTGCGACATCTGTGGAAAGGTGAAGAAAATCCACGGGGAGGTGCGATATCTGCAGAGAGGCAGAGGAATAAAGAGCTCTATCAGTGACATCTAGGACGATGCGGACGAAATAAGATGAGGGGACCCGTTTCTTCACGCATCTCAACGCGACTAATAAAATGAGGTCCCCTGCCCCCTTCCAATGACGTCTCCAGCTGCCAAACTTCCACTTGCCCGCATGGACATCTAAGTGCGTGGAACGACTTCGATAGCTGCTGAATCAGACTTCACTTGCTATGCAGCGCAAGTCCGGCATTTTCATTAATGGTCGGCATCAGAAGGCCTACGTTTGAATCCAGAGAAGTGTGAAGAGCTCATCATTTCCAACAGGGAGCTAACAAATTCAGCCCTCCTGGAGCTCAAGAATCGTTGCATTAGCATAGAAGATGAAGTGATAACGCCTGTGGAAAAGGTCACGATCACGCACTTTTCCCTGTAAGACAGGAGTGTTACAAGGCGGCGTCCTATCCCCATTCCTGTATACCCTCTACACCAGTGGTGCCAAACCTTCTCGGCTAGGGGGTCACATAGCTCAATCCCACAGCCATCGCGTGTCATATGCAGTCACTAGTATTGTAGGAGACTATTTTAAGGAAACCTGAAGCTATTTATTGTGGGTTATTTTTTTTGGGTATTATTTATTATTTTCAGGACCTCGAAGGTCACTTGTAAGCACCTCGAGGGCCACTTTTTGCCCGCGGGCCACAGGATGGGCACCACTGCTCTACACCGATCGTCTCCGTTCGTCATATCAAAACACCATCATAATCAAGTACGCAGATGATATGGTGATTGCTGCAACGATGGCTTCTGAATCAAACTTCACTTGCTATGCAGCGCAAGTCCAGCATCTTCATAAATGGTCGGCATCAGAAGGCCTACGCTTGAATCCCGAGAAGTGCCAAAAGCTCATCATATCTAACAGGGGGCTCAAAAATTCAGCCCTTCTAGAGCTCAAGAATCATCGCATGAGCATAGAAAATGAAGTGATAACGCCTGTGAAAAAGGTCAAGTACCGGGGACTGACAATTGATAAAATGAACTCAAATTTGACGAGCATGTGCATTCTGCATACAAGACCTGCCAAAGCCGCGTCTATTTTGCAGTCAATCTCTTCAGAGACACCTCCAAATCACAACATCCAATCACCATGTTCATTGCAACGTGCATCCCGACAGCGCTTTCCTATGGGATGCCTGCATCTGCGGGCTTCATGTCGATGAAATCATGCCAACTCATCAAGAAGATTTTGAAAAGACTGGCGCGGCTCTTGGGACAGAATATCTGTTCTGTGTAGGCATGTCAATTCTTCTGAGTCCAAAACATTGCAAAGAGGATGAAATGAAGAGTTATGAAGTGAAGGTATACAACATTCACGGCTCGATCCATCTATCCATGGAAAATGTGGGAGTTTCATTTTCATTGGGTTTCTCATCGTCGTAAGACGAAATATTCTTTGAAACGATGCAATTAAAGCCAAAATGGCTCAATGCCAAAATGAACAAATCCAAGAAGAAGCGGTTTTGACAAAACTGAGGAGATTTGATTAATGAGGTCGTTTCAACATTGCATCCAGTCGATCCAAGTTTCCACGCCACGCTGATGTTTCCCCTTTTTCAGGCGTTGTTCTAAATTCTGCAAACGGATTCTCCAGTCTTGAACACGAATTTTCGCCTGGTTTCGCATGTCGCAGAGGGAAGTGTCTGCCCAAATAAAAAGTGCGCGGAAAAATCTTGAACTTTTAGAAACTAGTATGGAAATTGTTATAAACAGTAAATCGTTATGAGGAAAATGTAATTCGCCTGGTTTCGCATGTCGCAGAGGGAAGTGTCTGCCCAAATAAAAAGTGCGCGGAAAAATCTTGAACTTTTAGAAACTAGTATCGAAATTGTTATAAACAGTAAATCGTTATGAGGAAAATGTAGGAGCGAAGGACTACTGAATAATAGACCTCCTGGAATGGATGCCGAGTGAATCAATACCATCACGCCCTTCCACCACAAAGGCTTCGCATAAAAAATGAGGCCCGATTAAAAAAGTAATCTACCGATGGATGAGTTTGCTAACCGTCCGTCAACAAAGACGAACGACGTATCGAAAAGAACCACAAACCGAGCTGGACTGGTCCGTTCCCCACAGGTGAGTTGCTCTCCTCCCATTCATCTCGCGAAATGAGTTCCACGGAAGTTCCTTCGGAAGTGAAGAGATGCAGGATCTTGACCGTCGTTGTCTATTCGTGCGCCGCCATCCTCACTGCCACCCAGGTGAGGATCCTGACTTTCCTTGTTTTCCACGAGGAAGGAATTCCTGATACGTTCGGGACCGTTCAGGCGCTGGAGTACTTGCGGAGATACGAAAGGACACCGACGATGACTACCTATCGTATAGAGAAGCGACTGAGTTTCCCCGCGCCCAAGATCACCGTTTGTCGAACGCCATCGTTCAAGACGGGTCCACGCGCGCCATCAAAACCTGCTTTCGATAGATCCAACCTATCTTCATTCCTCGAGGATTTCGGGTTCCATCCTAATGAGATCTTTTCAGGATGCAGGATGAACCTTCCCGGCCGCAGCTGCTTCCCGGGAGGAGGCTCCCGTCGAGATGGCATCTTCTACACCGAAGGCAAGTGGTTAAAGCCGTGCGACGAGAAAACGAGTATGTGAATACGCGACCGATATCGAATGAGATGCACGATGAGGTAATCATGATTACATGTGAGCCTTTTCGATGAAGAATTGTGAAAGCTGCTTGTCACACAGTTAAGGAAATACAACTTGAAATGGTGAGTCTCATAACTCGTTCGTCATTGAACGACTACAAGTTCAAATTGAAAACGAAAATTGAGGGAGGCCCTTCCGTATCAGAGGGTGTCCTGCGGCCCGAAGCGGGAGGGAGAAGAAAAAGAGTTCCTTATTAGCTGTTGAGTCAGAACATTGCTGGCTTTGGACAGGTGGAGAATGGCGTCACGCACTATTCAATGGCGAATACGAAGGGGGAGAATTTTATCCGCTCAGCAGATGTTTCACATTCCATCCCAACGTAACCCTGGGAGCCGGAGGGGAATCCACCGGCTATTCTCTCCTGATGAATATTCCCCCGAGGGACGTGGAAAATGGGACTGTGTTCTGGACTGTATTCATCCATAAAGACCTGGGATGGGCCTCCACGTACCTCAGGTCGACTTACACCAAAATCAAGATCAGGCCGGGGACGAGCACCCACGTGATCCTCTCGGCCAAAGAAGTCAATCAACTCGACACGAAGGCGTATCCATGCGAATCCAGGGAAGGATACAGCAACGATGAAGTAAGGAATTCATTATGCGATAGAATATTCTTCCAAGGTAAATCAATTTAACACACTCGGAATCTTTCCTCCCTCTTACATAGTGCCTGGAGACATGCCTCTTGAGAGAGATCATCGGATGGAATCGGTTATCGTGCCAGCTGCCGTCAATGAACCTGTCCTTGCCAGAATGCAGAAACATGACTGAAATCATGAGTTCCCTCTCGACTTTGCTCTTTTTTTACAATTTCCCGTTCACTTCAAACTGCCCCTGCCAGACTCCATGCCAACAGATCCGTTACTCGGTGGATGTGCAGCCAGCTGAAAATTTCACACATGACAAAAGAAGCCTCATGGAAGTCTTACTTCCCGAAAAGGGCTCTCAAGTCTTTATCTATTTCTTCGAGAAAACAGCTGAGGTCCTAACTGAGAGCCAGGCCTACGATTTCATCCAAATGCTCGGGGAATTCGGGGGTTGCCTCGGCTTGTTCCTCGGCATTTCTATTGTTTCCGTCTACGAGTCCCTTGACCGGTATATCCGATCCGTGTTCGCCCGATACGCTGACAGTCGCAAATAACGTTCGCAGATGCTTTCTCAGGAATCAGGAAAGTTGTAACTAATTTAAAGGAAAGGGATATGAACTCAAGAAGTATGTCAAACGAAACACTAATATCATTTTCCATCGTGTTTCCTGAATCCTCCACCGACTACGGCAGTGTTTTCGGACCGTAATCCTGATGTCGTGCCACGAGAAAGTCCACGGTGCATTCAACAATTCATGACCTTGACAATCTTTGTGAGACGTCGAGAGAGATGAAAGAAAAAGGTTAAACAATACTCCAGGAGTACCAGCTGGAGTGTCGTTTTTGTTTGCACACCAATGGTAGCACCTCAAAGGAACTGGGCATGAGAGATAGATGCAATGCTTTCAAAGAGTTGCGAATGCGGCCGAGTTGAGCGTCGGCAGACGGCGAAATCCTGTCATCAGTTAGGCACTATCCCTCAGTCGTTATCGCCTGTGCACAATCAATGTTTTTTTTTGTGCCAATTCATGTAATCTTTCAATCTTGTGTTGTGGTGTGTTTGACCTGATAGACTCATAATTTGAAGAGCATATGTGAGTCGTCACGTTTCCAGTTTGTCTGTGGGCTTGAAAGACGTGTTCATGAGAAACTCTTTCCTCTATTCCGGGGTACAAGTTTCACCGTATTGAGCCTTCGCATGCTCACATTTTCAGACATTATTGCAAGCTCTATTTGCTCATTTACTTGATGGAGTTGTTCTGGGCCAAGAATGCAGGTGTTGTAATTCATTTCAAAGGAATCTCATGAAGTATGTAAGAATCAAAACACTAATATCATTTTCCATCGTGTTTCCTGAATTCCCCACCGAAATCGGAAGTGTTTTCGGACCACATTTTGTCCCACGAGAAGGTCGACGGTGTAATTGAAACTCGTCTTGACAGTCTTTGTGTCACGTCGAGTGAGAGAGAGGAAGAAAGTTACATCATCCTCCAGAAATACCAGCTGGAGCGTTGGTTTCATTGTTTTGCACACCTATATCTCCGCCTCAAAGAAACTGAGCGTGACAGGTAAATGCAATGCTTTCAAGGAATTGCAAATGTGGCAAAATTAGCAGACGGAGTTATTCTGTCCTCAGTTCCGCACTATTCCTCAGTTGTTATCGCCTGCGAATAATCAATGTTTTTCGTGGCAATGCATATAACCTTGTGTTAGTGTGTCCATGTCTAGACTTGACAGATGCATATAAGCGCATGTGTGAGTCGTCACGTTTCCGGGTTTTCTTTGGGCTTGCACAAGTTGTTCGAAAAAGGTTAATTCCTCTCCGGGGTACATGTTTCATTCTATCGAGTCTTCGTATGATCACATGTTCAGTCATTAGTGAGAGCTGAATTTACTCATGTTCCATTTATGATTTTCATGTTTACCTGGTTTCACATATTGCAGAACTCTGTGTCTGTGGTAATAAAGTCACTGGAAAATGTGGGAGTTTCATATTCATTGGGTTTCTCATCGTCTTAGGACGAAACCTTTTTTGAAACGATGCAATTAATGCCCCTCAAAATGGATTTTTTTTTCCTCTTGAAAACTTCAAATAAATATGCGAATTGAATCATGCATGAATACCTATTGTTGGGTCGACAGTCGCATAACTGAGAGCAAAATAATTACCCTATGCCTTTTATCAACAGCCTCGCTCCGGCTGGGCTTGCTCACCATAAATTCACGTATTATTTGTTCAGACCTTGCCACCGAGTCCCTCTCGGTCTAGTTGAAGTACTCCAGGAAATAGTACTTCCTCCGATTGTAATATCTTCAGGCCTTCACTTTCCATAACAGGTTTTGAGCCCCATTATCCACCATAGAAGTTCTTGTCTGGCACGACTCGGATGATCACATCTGTAACACACGAACCTCCCCGAGGCAAAACAGATGCATCCTCTACAATCGAAGACTTGAGTCGTGTTTTATCCCCCCTATATCGCGTGAAGCCCCAGTTTGTATCATGCTTCCTTCATGATTAACAAGAGTCTGTTTGGACTGCTTAACCTGTTTAAACAAATGAATGGAGAAATCCGAGTGTCTTCCTTTACGTTATCTGTGGAAATGGTTCAAGTATCGCAAGAAAGTTACCGGGGTCTTAAAATTATGAATCACTCCCTGTTCTAATTTACATCTACACATGGAAGGCAGCACAGTTGAAGCAGGTCATGCTTTACGTTGATCCCGTTGCCTTTTCGATGCATTTTGCATGATGATTATCATGGAAATTTCATGCTGTTCTGTGTAGGCATGTCAATTCTTCTGAGTCCAAAACATTGCAAAGAGGATGAAGTGAAGAGTTATGAAGTGATGGTATACAACATTCACGGCTCGATCCATCTATCCATGGAATATGTGGGAGTTTCATTTTCATTGGGTTTCTCATCGTCGTAGGACGAAACATTTTTTGAAACGATGCAATTAAAGCTCCTCAAAATGGATTTTTTTTCCTCTTGAAAACTTCAAATAAATATGCGAACTGAATCATGCATGAATACCTATTGTTGGGTCGACAGTCGCATAACTGAGAGCAAATTAATTACCCAATGCCTTTTATCAACAGCCTCGCTCCGGCTGGGCTTGCTCACCATAAATTCACTTAATGCGTGGTATAATCGCTTTGGTCATCGGAAACGGTTAAATGGTTAGGCAGGACCGACGATGTCTCTAAAGATCAAACAGCGATAGTTTCCTAGTCGTGCTGATTTAATCGCGACTTTCGGCAAGTGCCAAAGGCAAATATTCAAACGAATTGGATCGTGGTTTCCCAAGCATGTATTTTCCATGGACAGTTGTATTTAATTTTTTCAGGAGTGCTACGAAGATAGGACCTGGTTCCTGATAGGGCCGATACCCTGGCAACGATTGCACCTATTCACTGAAAGTCGCATTGAAAGCGGTTTTCAAGTGAAAATCGTGTAGAATTAAAGAAAAGTCCTTTTTTTTTATTTACATAGTTTCAAGTGTTCTTCGATAGAAATCAAGAAACAAAAACTCTATAGATACTCTTCTATGGTTATGTTCAGAATGTTTTTCTTTAAACATTAAATCTTAGGTCTGACGCATGTCACGTACCATGGAAATAAGGCCTAAAGTGAAAACTCCAAGATGCCTGCGTTAGTAACGCACACAGTAATTGGGGAGAATATGGAATGTTAACTGTGTATATTATCTCATCGCGACACGAATTCATAGAATTACTTAACATATATCTGAAATTTGCCGAAATGGGGAAGATAGCATAGACTTTAGAATGAAATATGAACCGTTGAAAGCATTAGGAAATTTTCAGGAATTCCATGCTCGAAACTGCATGTCGGACTTCCTTTGAAGCGGGACTGGATCCACCTTGACGTCCCTCGCAGTGGGTTCCCACTGTAAAACCCGCCACTGCATGTTTCACAGCGGCTTTCCCTAGACGAATGCGCGAGTTTTGCTTCCTTGAGGATTCATCGAAATTGTCATTCTGGAGACGAGACCAACCCCTTTATAGTCACACCACCTCCAAATCACAACATCCAATCACCATGTTCATTGCAACGTGCATCCCGACAGCGCTTTCCTATGGGATGGCTGCATCTGCGGGCTTCATCTCGATGAAATCATGCCAACTCATCAAGAAGATTTTGAAAAGACTGGCGCGGCTCTTGGGACAGAATATCTCCAACCATGAAGCAGGCTTCATCAAGAGAGTGAACGAGGATGGTCGACGAATCAATAACACGATCCGTGAAGATTCGAGTCATCCCCTCTTCGCAATAACTCGTGGCAGGTAAAACCTGCTGCAAACCGGAGGAAAGGACATACTCTGTTGTCGTGGACGGAATCGATCACCATGATCTTCACAGACCCCTGCACCCAAGTTGAACCCGAACGTGTTCAATGAACGTTTCTTTCAAGTTATGGCCAGCGTTCCATAAATGTCGTTGGAAACGTTCTATTAGCTGCTTGAATTCTTCAAAATTCAAAGCAATGAAAAACAGTTCAAATTATGCGTTCCTGGAACTACGTAAATGAGATATTTCTAGGGAACTTGAGCTCTCTGGAAATTGTTATATGGATCGTCTCAAAGTCAGATTTTCTTAAAAAGGGATTGAGAAATCTTTCTCTCTCCGAATTGTATTACTCCGAGTTACATCGTAGCGAGCAGATTCTAGGGAGACCGAAGGGGCTCAATGCCAAAATGAACAAAGCCAAGAAGCGGTTTGGACAAAACTGAGGAGATTTGATTCGCCTGGTTTCGCATGTCGCAGAGGGAAGTGTCTGCCCAAATAAAAAGTGCGCGGAAAAATCTTGAACTTTTAGAAACTAGTATCGAAATTGTTATAAACAGTAAATCGTTATGAGGAAAATGTAGGAGCGAAGGACTACTGAATAATAGACCTCCTGGAATGGATGCCGAGTGAATCAATACCATCACGCCCTTCCACCACAAAGGCTTCGCATAAAAAATGAGGCCCGATTAAAAAAGTAATCTACCGATGGATGAGTTTGCTAACCGTCCGTCAACAAAGACGAACGACGTATCGAAAAGAACCACAAACCGAGCTGGACTGGTCCGTTCCCCACAGGTGAGTTGCTCTCCTCCCATTCATCTCGCGAAATGAGTTCCACGGAAGTTCCTTCGGAAGTGAAGAGATGCAGGATCTTGACCGTCGTTGTCTATTCGTGCGCCGCCATCCTCACTGCCACCCAGGTGAGGATCCTGACTTTCCTTGTTTTCCACGAGGAAGGAATTCCTGATACGTTCGGGACCGTTCAGGCGCTGGAGTACTTGCGGAGATACGAAAGGACACCGACGATGACTACCTATCGTATAGAGAAGCGACTGAGTTTCCCCGCGCCCAAGATCACCGTTTGTCGAACGCCATCGTTCAAGACGGGTCCACGCGCGCCATCAAAACCTGCTTTCGATAGATCCAACCTATCTTCATTCCTCGAGGATTTCGGGTTCCATCCTAATGAGATCTTTTCAGGATGCAGGATGAACCTTCCCGGCCGCAGCTGCTTCCCG